TCTCTTTAATTTTCTGATTTTTTTTTCTGATTTTTTTTTCTGAAACTGGGAAGTCTGGTTTCTATTCATCAAAATACATGGTTGATTGGTTTTGGGGTTTTCCAAGCCAAAAGGTGGGTTAAAGTCATGGAGCTTCACCGTTACATTCCTTTCTTATGTTAAAGGGGCTGATTTGAAAGGGCCGCAGGCCCCCTTGAAGTTTAAGTTTACTAGCCAGGACCTCCGGTCCTAATACTGAGCTTGCGATACGATTGATTAACGTTTTATGTATGTATTGATAATAGATTATATAGTTGTAGCTAGTATAATATTGTCTGTAGCTTGAATTTCGTCTTGATGAGCGTGACCGAGTCTCGGCCCATTCTGGTTTACCATGGGCTTCGCAAGCTCAGCAATGAGTATTGACCTAAAGGTCGGGCCGCAGGCCTGACAAAAATGCTGCTGGCAGGCCAAGCTAGGCCTGGCCTCTGCCGAACGGAGTTGCCTGCGGAGCAAAGTGAAGGTGGCAACTTCGTTTGGCAAAAGAGCGTGCCTAGCTTGTTTGTACGGGTACCTTTACAGTACTTGCAATGCCCAAAGCAGCACTCAAAATTCCAGGAGCTGGATCTGCGGAGACCGGGGATGCCGATAGCGCCAGAAGCACAACCTGCGACAGAACAGAGGCAAAATTGATCGTATTCGAAATTGAAGGCGGGAACATATTACATTTTTCATTTGAGCCCAGTTGACCCGTGTCGGAGCGCTCAGGCCGCACACCATGCGCACCCCCTGCCGCGCGCCAGCCGGTTGAGCACACGCATGTCTTTTCCGCACTTTTTGAAGCTGTTTGATATTTTGACCAACCGCATGAGTGGTATCGCGCGAAAGGGCAGAGTTCGAACTTTACCGAGGTACCTTTACAATCCACCTCCGATTTCATTTGGCCGAGATAATTTGATTATAGTGAACCAACAGACCACTCGGAGGGCCCGCCGGGGCGCAAACAAAACAAATTTTCACGTAAGCCAAGCGATTGCATTGTTGAACGAGTGTGTAACCAACAAGATTACTAAACCAGCTTTCGAATAGGATAGGTGTCCTTTCGGTCTGATCAAAATATTTCCTTCATTTTATAAAAATAAGCTGATGTGAGATCGACAGCCATTTTGGATTCGGCAGCTTATTTTACATTTTAATAATACTCGCGTGATTTGCGGCGAAGCAAGAAGTATCCTATACTGAGGCGCGTTTCATGGGCTTTCCAACGCCGTACGAGTTTTTATTCAACAATACTGCCGATCAAGTGAAAATTTGTTCCTTTCATGCAACGGTGGATAACCTCGAGAGCAACCTCCGAAATTGTTTTCGTTCAAACATGAAATCGACTTACCTCTGAGATGAAATATCAACTGTTAAAGTTGGAAGGGGTTATGGTCCATCATAATATCCAATAATATGTTCGCCAAACGACGTCCAGCAATTAAGAAACACTAAATGCAAACTTGTGTCACCGACGACTGGCTGGCTCTTGTTGTGGTCGAGCAGACGCTCAAGCACGGTATGAAAAATCGGTCGCTCGGCTACAAGCTAACTATTTCAGCAGTCTGAGAGATTGGACATTGCTTGCAGACACAGCAAACTTATCCTTATGTTTTAGTTTTAATTTAGAAGGTATCGGAAGACACCGAAACTGCTCTGCAACTAGGAAATATCAATGTGTATCGTGTTCTGAGTTGAGCGCCGGATTTTTCATACCGTGCTTGAGCGTCTGCTCGACCACAACAAGAGCCAGCGAGTCGTCGGTGACACAAGTTTGCATTTAGTGTTTCTTAATTGCTGGACGTCGTTTGGCGAACATATTATTGGATATTATGATGGACCATAACCCCTTCCAACTTTAACAGTTGATATTTCATCTCAGAGGTAAGTCGATTTCATGTTTGAACGGAAACAATTTCGGAGGTTGCTCTCGAGGTTATCCACCGTTGCATGAAAGGAACAAATTTTCACTTAATCGGCAGTATTGTTGAATAAAAACTCGTACGGCGTCGGAAAGCCCATGAAACGCGCCTCAGTATAGGATACTTCTTGCTTCGCCGCAAATCACGCGAGTATTATTACGTAGGGCCCCGTGCGTTAACATTATGCACGGGGTACCTGAGCGAAGTGAAATAAATTTACAGAAGGCATAAAAAAGATAGAACAAAACTATACCGAATGAGGGTCCGCCTAGTAGGTAGGCAACCGGTCGTCTGCTCCTTGAACGTAAGAGATTTGGGGGGGGGGGGCGCTTCTAATTCTTCCGTCTCTATAGTGAGCCGTCTAAGGGATAAGGAATTTGTCTGAAGATCCCTGTATGTGCATTGAGGCAAGCTACTGTGCGACCCCCCTCCCCTCTCCCCCGGCATTCCCTCGAGGGGTACTTCACTATTAATTCAAGCTTACACCAATTTTTCTTTTTCGGACTATCTCTGATTGATTTCTCTTTAATTTTCTGATTTTTTTTTCTGATTTTTTTTTCTGAAACTGGGAAGTCTGGTTTCTATTCATCAAAATACATGGTTGATTGGTTTTGGTAAACATACAACTGTAACAGTGGCTG